CACTGCATAATATATTTGTGTTGGTTTTAGCATAAAAATGATTTCTCTTCCCCCACCAAATCTTAAAAGTAAAATTAACACTCTGGAAGATGTGCCATGTGTATTCTGTGGCTCCAAATAGTCCTCACCATATCACCCCAGGAATAATCCAATTTAAACAGCACCGTATAAAGGCATGAGGTAAAGAGAGACACGGAGAAAGAGTCAAAGAGAGGAAAATAATTTGAAAGACAACAAGAATGAGTCTGAGTAATAAGCTCTCTGTCTGATCCTCAGCCAACCCTCCAGGCCTGGCCCAGTTCAGCCACTGAGAAGTATATAAACATCCCTGATATCTCTGGACAGGTGTTAGTGTGGCGGCTCAGGGTAGAAAGCAAGACCCAAAAACAGGAGCCAAGCCAAGTAAGGGAGAGGTGAGGGATCCAGAGCAGCCAAGTATGGTCAGATGAGAAAGAGTGTCTAGGTGCCAGGAAAGAGGCTTGGAAAGGAAATGGAAGACTTAGAAAAGGTTTGATCAGCATTTGCCCTTTCTCCCACTGAGCCCATTTTGTGTCACTTCCTCTTATCACTCTGCCTAAGAAAAATGAAGTACAAGCATTAAATTGTCCTCCTTTGAAGAGGGAATTTCTTCTCCAAAATGGCTATATCTCTGATCGCACCAGAGCCTAAGGAGGATGAGTACCAGGGCTTCTTTCCCTGTCCAAATGGGACTCTACCTATTCTCTCCAAGACAGGAAATACCTCAAATCCGCATCCCTAACTTAGGTGAGTTTCTTCCACCTACCCCTTTTGGTAAGACAAAAATAGGTCTAACCCCCTCCCTCCTAACCTAATATTATCAACACTACCCTGAGTGTACCAAAGAATATCAGAGACAGGATTTGGATATTTTCCCCCTTTCTCTAATGTAAACCAAGATCAATGAGGAATCACAAGGATGAGAACTATTCAGGAAAGGGCTGGGAGCACAGTCCAAAACTGAGGATCCTGGGAGGAGGAGAGGTTTGAGACTGGAGAATAATCTCAGACTCTGAGGTCATGGGGACCTAGCCCCTTCCTGCATTTGTTGGGATCAGGCCTGAGGAATCTCTGGACTCCTTCCCCAACATCTTGGATTCCCAAGGTGAGAGCACCTAGCCATTAAGATCCTGCAGTTAAGTTGGATCAGTGTCTTCCCACTGACTCCCCCATTAAGGTTATGAGGGGGACCTCCCTTCTTTCCTAGATACAAAGAGGCAAATTAAAGTCTGTTGGGGATGAGCCAAAGGCCTTTCTGAGGTGATAGCAGGAAACTAGAACTTATTTCCAGTTTTGTGGTCCCAAATGACCTTGAGGAAACGGGAGCCCCAGAAGGGGAAAGGTCAGTGGAGAAGAGGTCACTACTGGTTTGGCCAGATTAGTTAGTGGAGCTATTCTCATTGAGCTCGTTTCTCTTACCTATCCTCTGGCTGGACATGACATATGAGGGGAGATGAAGAGGACCTGCCCACCAACCCCTTCTTCAGTCAGAAATCTACTGGTGGCCTGTTTGATTTGAGTCCTGGCTTGCCGATTGTGACCTTGAACTCTGCTGTAAGTGGTGTCCTTTTCTTGCTAGTTGATGGAATTGCTGATCTTCTTGCTACCCGAGCTGAAGCGGGTTCTTGGAAACGACTGGCCAGATGCCTGAGGTATCTTTAGTCTGCCTAGGCTGAAAATAAAGTGGGGAAATCCAGCGAATGGAATATGTTCAGCCAAAGCTAGGCACATCCTGCCTTTGTTCTCAGGCCCATTTGAATTCTTACAGATGGATCAGCATAAGCCCTACTCTGTGAGAGCTAGAAGGGCTCCCATTGGACACATCTAGTCCAAATTTATATTTCACACATGAGGAATACTGAGGCTTGGAGACGTACATGACTTTCTGAAGGGCACAAAGTTATGGAGTGGTGAAACTAGGACCATAAAATATTGTGAAACCCTGTCTCTTAAAAAAAATGAATGGAGGAAAAGAGCTGTCTTTTCCTTACCAAATTATAGGTGCCCAATTACCTTATTCATCTGACCCTCCAATTTTCTTTGGTCTCCACTCCCAATCTAAACTACATGTTGCTTTCAGGTCTGCCTTTTAGCCTTCCTCAAACCACTTGAGTCACTGAGTCTGTTTGCAGACCCCTCTTAAATTGCCCACCTGAGATGGGAGGAAATCATGAGGCTAGGGATGGAACATAGCATAGAGAAAAATAGGATTCTTTCCTTTTTTTTTTTTCTTTGTAGAGGCAGACTTAGGGAAGACTATGTTGCCCCAAGCTGGTCTTGAGCTCCTCGCCTCAAGCAACCTCCCACCTCAGCCTCCCAAAGTGGTGGGATTACAGGTGGGAGCCACCATGCCCAGGACAGGATTCTTGACAGAGAACCTACCCTGCCTGGGGCCAGTGCAGCCCAGGCTGTGGACATGGCAGCAATCTGTTCAACATAAGCCCTATCGGGCGAGTAGTACTGGGCTGAGCAGCTCTGTGTAGGTCCTCTGTAAATGTTTGCAAGCAGGGGCCGGGCATGGTGGCTCATTCCTGTAATCCCAGCACTTTGGGAGGCCAAGGCAGGTGGATCACAAGGTCAGGAGTTCGAGACCAGCCTGACCAACATGGTGAAACTCCGTCTTTACTAAAAATACAAAAATTAGCCGGGCATGGTGGCATGCGCCTGTAATCCCAGCTACTCAGGAGGCTGGGCAGCAGAATCACTTGAATCCAGGAGGTGGAGGTTGCAGTGAGCTGAGACTGTGCCGCTGCACTCCAGCCTGGGCAACAGAGTGAGACTCCATTTCAAAAAACAAAACAAAACAAAACAAAATAATGTTTGCAAGTATGGCCTCAACTCCTAACCTCTCAGGGGTTCCTCCAAAGTGAATAGGAGCCATGACCCTGTTTACTAGGCCTTGGGCTTCAGGCCTGCCTGATAGTACCTATGGAAAGTAGGGGAAAGGTCAGTGGAAACAAGTCTAGCTCATTCTTGGAACCACTTCAGAATCTGGGAAAGCTGCTGGGTTCTGTGTCCCTGGCTTTGTCCAGCAAGGTCACCTGCAGACAGGGCAGAGTCCAAGAATAGTCTGATCATTCTGACACTTTGAAGTAATACAACTGATCTCAAGTGATCACTCCAACCTTTGTCCTCATTTCCCCAGTTTCATGGGAAAAGGATGTGTGTGTATAGGATGTGTGCTGCTTTTCCAGAATCTTCTTTGTTCCTACTCTTTTAAGTTCCCAGGTTGACATTTGGTGGGCTTTATGGGGTGGCTGTGCTCCCAACATAGACACATAATTGACCAGGTTAGGACTTGGTGTGTGTATGTAGGGAACAATGCAAAAGGAAAATTTTCAATAGCTTTTACTTTTGTTTTTGCTGATCTCTCCCTAGCTATAATCACAGGCTGAAGTACAGCTATGGGAAATCCCAGTTACAGGTCCCCTATCTCCTTCCTGCCACTCAACACAACACCTCACGAGGACTAAAAAAGAAACACGTCAATCATCATAATTGCTCAATGACTCTGGAACGTTCTGCTTCTATTCCTGTTTCCTTCGCTGCTTCTACTTTTCTTCTTTTCTTCGAGACGGGTTCTTGCTTTGTTGCCCAGGCTGCAGCACAGTGGTGCAATCACATAGCTCACCACAGCCTCAAACTACAGGGCTCAAGGGATCCTCCTGCCTCAGCCTCCCTAGTAGCTGGGACTACTAGGGAGTGCCACCACGCTCAGCTATTTGAAAGATTTTAAAATATTTTTGTTGTAGAGACAGGGACTCACTTTGTTGCCTAGACTGGTCTCAAACTCCTGGCTTCAAGCAATCCTCCTGCCTCAGTCTTCCAAACTTCTGGGATTACAAGTTTGAGCCATGGCGCCTGCCACTGCTTCTATGTAAACACTAACTAACACACCCAAACTAGGCTTTTAAGGTGCTTTCTCTCAATGGAGTCACACTCTTTCTTCGTTCTTTACAATGGGGTCAAACATATTCAACCTTAGATTGCCATTCTCCATCACTTGATGCTGTAGGGAATTCAGTCGGCCTGCCTGAATGCAGTTGGGGAATGCTTTGAAGGGTCTTCTATATCCCATCTTACAGCTTTCAAATGCTCAGTAGGGTTGCTATGATAGCATGCCTCCTTATTCAGTTCCTATTCTGGACACGCAGCTTGCCCGTGACTGTTGCATGTCAAGTGGCTGGAACCAATCAGCTCATCTAAGGCTTCCTCAGAAACCAATCAGAGCCTCGAAAAGTGACCTCACCCAAGGGAGAGCTCTGTGGGCGAGAAAGCATCTCTCAGATCTGTGAGTGTCCCTAAGTCACTCCCTTCCTCCCCACCCTCCTTACTTCCTGTAAAATAACACCGCCTACCTCCCTTCCCCCAAAGAAAGGGAGTGAGAAAGGCTAACTAAATTCCACAAAGGGAAGAACCAAAAGAGAAACTGCAACTCAGTCACACACTGGTTTCTGTAACTGGAGAATAGGATATTTAGGGGGCTCACTCTGCACAGACATACCTTTCAAAGTGGCATCTCCAGGGTCTGGAAGAGGAGGGAGTATGGTGGATAAGTCAGCTCCTCCTCCCTCCTCATACCTGGTTTTCTTGACTTTTCCCACAAAAATTGCTGCAACCATTTTTTGTAAATAAGGACAAGATCAAGGTCAAGTGTGGGAAAGACAGGGTCTGTGTCCTTGTGAACATCTGTGAACAGACACAATCATGTCCTTGTGGCCTGAGGACCAGAGGCTCAGAAGTCAGCTGGTCTGCAGGGGGCACAGACCGTTCATCTCTACAACTTACTCTGCATTGCCCTACAGATGAGGCCTTGAATATTCCTTGGCAGGGTTAGATTGTGAATATGTATCCCACCATGGGGGTAGAAGGGAAGGGACAAAGGACAAGCGGGCTGTAACCCTCCAGTGTGTCACTCCAGACCCTGCTTAATCATTTCCTTCATTCCTCCAGCCCTCTATCACCAGGCCTCACCCATAACAGAGACAGATAAAAACACTTTATTTAAAAGTATAAAACCAGGCTTACTCCTTCAAACTGCTCCCACCCCTATTATCTCCACAAAGAGCTATACAAATTGGGCAGGGGTATGTGTACAGTTATCTCAGCTCTAACAACCCCAGTTCTTTCAATTCTCCTTTCTCCCTTCATACAATTGAGATATTTGTCCTTTGCACTTTCCCCAAGATAGCAGAGGTGATACAAACGTGGAAGGAGGGGAAGCGTAGAAAATAAACTGTCATCATCCTCCATTCCCATCTCCAGGGACCAGACAGGTTATGTGAACTCTGACCAAATGATTTGCTTGTCCGAAAAAACAAATAACAGGGACAGTTACTCTCTGTAGCCTCAAGAAAGACACAAGGGTCCAGAGACCTTCTTCAGTATATAGCCTCGTCCATATTGTCATCACTGTCACCCCCAAAGTCCTCGCCATTGTCAAAATATGACATGATGTAATCAGTTTCCTGAAATGGAAAAAAAAAAAAAAAGTAAAAGTCAATTTGGCATTCACCTTCCTTCCTGTGTACCAGACCCCTTTCCTCCCAGTCACACCATTCCAGGCCTGAGACAGCTCTTCCAGCTGTAGTTTGGAGAAGTGGGCAGAGGGAGTAGAGGGAAGCCCCTACCCTGGGGGGCACTATCTCTGTTGGCATGCCAACCCTCTGAGGAAAGCATCCCTAGTATAAAGAGTTGAGATCCCCAGAGTTTCTGGGGTAAAGGGAGGGGGACTAAGGTGGAAGGAGTCCCCTTCACCTCTTCATGTTCTTCTTCATCATACTCTTCTTCTTCCTCCTCTTCCTTCTCTTCTTCTTCTTCCTTCTCCTCATCCTCCTCTGAAGTTACTTCTTCTTCCTTCTTCTCCAGGGTCTCATGTGGGGATGAATAGGAATAGAAACTCAGGTTCAGTTCATAGAAGGGAAAAATTGAGGCACACATGGGTCGAGAGAGAGGGAATGGATTCAGGGCTCAGAAGGTCTCTATGCACACTTCCTCCTCACCTCTAGTTTCTGTATTGTTTCCTCCTTATCTTCTGTGGTCTTAGGGGGCCTCTTGGGGAGCAGAATTGTAATCCCTGGTGGGGGGATCAAAAGGTGAACCATCAGAGAGCAAATTTTGCCAGCTTTATAGCTCATCCTCATGCAAAGAACATGTCACTCTGCTGCCCTCATGTGGCCACTATGACATCTAGCAACAACACTTGGTAGATTGGGTATAGGAACCGGGATGGAAGGTGAGACCCGCAGTAGCCTTGGCCCTGAGCCTGATGAAGGAAACCTCTCTTCTCCCTCCTTTTTCCAGATACACTTACGTTCCTTCTGTAGCTTCCGCACTCGGATCTTTAGCTCCCGGGGTAGACGCCGCCAATCTGGGAATAGTGGGAATGTAAATGTCAATAGGACCCTGCCTGGGGTCTCCAGTGAATAATGACTAGTTTTAAAGGGGGATTGAGGGTTTTAAAGGAGAGGAAGGAAGGGGCTGGGTCAAAGTTGTTCAGAACAAAACTGTGGCTTAGATATCTCCTGAGTAGTGGGAACTATTTAATAGCTTTTTCAGGTAAAATCTGAGAGTGTTTTGGTACATAACTAAGGCTCTAGCTTGCAGATGTTGGATCAGGGAATGGGGTGGGGACGTGGGCGTGGTGGAAATGGCTTGAAGCATCTCATGCATTTGAAAGAAAGGCAGTCAATGAAAGGGCCCATCACCTACCAGGGTTCCAATCGATGGCATTGTCAATCGGACCTGACATCTGATATTTGTCTGAATAACGCTCCACATCTGAGGGGTGGAAGGGTCAAAGTTTTATCCCTTGAGACCCAGAACAGGACTGTTCCTGAGAGTCTAACCCTCTCAATACTCAGGAATTATCTGTTTCCTTACCCCAAACTCAGAGCCCAGGGGGTCAGCTTCAGTGAGGACCTTATCCCTTTTTTTTTTTTTTTTTTTTTGAGACAGAGTCCTGCTCTGTCACTCAGGCTGGAGTGCAGTGGTACAATCTCAGCTTACTGCAACCTCCACCTCCCAGGTTCAAGTGATTCTCCTGCTTCAGCCTCCTGAGTAGCTGGGACTACAGGCGCACATCACCACGCCCAGCTAATTTTTGTATTTTTAGTAGAGACAGGGTTTCACCATGTTGGCCAGGATGGTCTCAATCTCCTGACCTCGGGATCCACCCAACTTGCCCTCCCAAAGTGCTGGGATTACAGGCGTGAGCCACTGTGCCTGGCCCCTTATCACTCTTCTAACCTGTTTCTTTTCCACCTAAAATTATGAATTATTATTATTTTTTTTTTTTTTCAGATGGAGTCTCACACTGTCGCCCAGGGTTGGAGTGTGGTGGCGCAATCTCGGTCCACTTCAACCTCCACTTCCCAGATTCAAGCAATTCTCCTTGCCTCAGCTTCCCAAGTAGCTGGGATTACAGGCACCTGCCACCAGGTCTGGCTAATTTTTTGTATTTTTTTTTTGTACAGACAGGATTTCACTATGTTGGCCAAGATGGTCTCGAACTCCTGACCTCGTGATCTGCCCACCTCAGCCTCCCAAAGTGCTGGGATTATAGGTGTGAGCCACCACACCTGGCCGGTGTTTTTTTTGTTTTGTTTTGTTTTTGGGTTTTTTTTTTTGAGACAGAGCCTTGTTGTGTCAACCAGGCTAGAGTACAGTGGCGAGATCTCAGCTCACTGCAACCTCTACCTCCCAGGTTCAAGCAATTCTCGTGCCTCAGCCTCCTGAGTAGCTGAGACCACAGGCTCACACCACTGTGCCTGGCTAATTTTTATATTTTTAGTAGAGACAGGGTTTCGCCATACTGGTTAGGCTGGCCTCAAACTCCTGGCCTCAAGTGATCCACCCATGTCAGCCTCCCAAAGTGCTGGCCATTATAGGCGTGAGCCACCGCACCCGGCCATGATGACTTTTTTTTTTTTTCTGTCCCTTAGTTCAAAGGCACGGCTGTATTAAGAAATAGTGTGGTGCAGTGGAAAGTATGCTAGGGAATAAGAAACCAGGATTTCAGTATTCTGTTGTTGGTTGGTGCTTTTAATATCCAGATTGTTAAAATTTTTGCTGGGCACAGTGGCTCATGCCTGTAATTCCAGCACTTTGGGAGGCCAAGGCAGAAGAATCTCTTGAGCCCAGAAGTTCAAGACCAGCCTGGGCAATATAAGAACACCCCATCTCTATTTTACAAAAAAATAAAAAATATATAAATTTTTAGAAAATACATCCCCCCACCTACACACAAGAAATGGGATTTTAATATTTAACCTCCCGCTGTCCCAAAACTATCATGAGACTCAAAACAAACCATGAATACTATAATGCATTTCAGATGCAGGAGTAACTATTATGATATCCCCAGTTAGACAGTATGCTTCCTGTGCCTCTCCAGCCCCCAGTGGTGCTGAGCACAGGGCACTCCCCATGGAAGGCACTCAGAATATGATGCTAGCATTCCAACTGACCTCTCTTGGGGACAGCTGGCCGGATGAAGTAGGGGAGCTGCCTCATGGCTCCTCGTAGCTCCTGCTTCAGTGCCAGGACATATTCCCCTTCCTCTCCTGAGGGCAAAGGTACTGGGCGGAACTCCAAAGGCTAAAGAAGCAGGGGCAGTGGTCTGTTCAGGGAGAAAATGCTAGTACAAATTTAGGAAGACCCCTCCTCCCAATTTAATCTAATATTCCACTGAGCAGAGGGCTGAAAGAGAATGGGGAGAGTAACATATCATTTTGAAAGCTGGGGAGAAGTAAAGGTGGACACTTCTTTGACTGCAAAACATCCCTTGTGCATTGGGAGTATAGAGACAGAGAGGGCCAAAGTGAGGATGGTTTTATGATGGTCCAGGAGGAATTCAGAATCATGTACAGTCAGCCAGGGGCACATGAGAGTCTGGGAAGGAAGTGGAGAGACTCACAGGGAAGAGTGGAGAAGGCTGCAGGGTGGGTGGGGGCAAAGTATCCCCTTTCCCAATGCCCACGGCCTCCATGTTGAAGGTCAACTGGCCCCGGCCACGACCCCGGCCCCCACCCCGGCTGGCCATGGTGGAGGGGGCCTGGGTATTCAGAGATCCAGTGAAAAAACCTGATAAAGACAAAAACAAAGAGAAAAAGAAATGTAGTAGAATGGACAGGAAGCCAAGGAGCTACAAGACATTCAATCTTTTATCGCTGGGACATAAAAAGTCAATGTCATTCAACAAATTTTGACTGAGAAGGCACAGTGTCAGAGAGAGAATTTCTGGAAACATAAACATGAATGAGACATGGTCCCCCAAACAGATCAGATAATTTACAATATAGTTTAGCACAAAGGAGAAAGTGCTTAGACCCTCGGACAAAACTCTACATCCCTAAGACAATTTGATGTTTATTCCTATCTGCATTTATTTATTTTTATTTTTAGAGATACTCTGTCACCCAGGCTTGAGTGCAATGGTGCAATCACAGCTCACTCTAGCCTCGAACCCCTGGGCTCAAGTGATCCTCCTGCCTCAGCCTCCCAAAGTGCTGGAATTACAGGCATGAGCCACTATGCCCAGTCACTAACTGCATTTATACGTATAACCTTTGAATTCTTTCTATCTCTGGCCTTCCAAACCTGACCAGGCCCCAATTCAATCCAAAGAAATGCATTCAGCGAAACATTTATTAATCGTCTACCATGAAAAAGATAGTGTCAGGCACTGTGGCAGCAGAGGGATGAGTCATCAATTTCATTGTCAACCAGGGAAAAAGAGACATTACAATCAAATTTTATTTTATTTTATATTCTATTTTATTTTAGACAAGGTCTCTTTCTGTCACCCAGGCTGGAGTGCAGTGGTGTGATCATGGCTCACTGCAGCCTCAACCTCCTGGGCTCAGGTGATCCTCCTGCTTTAGCCTCCCAAGCAGCTGGAGCTACAGGTGTGTGCCACCATGCCTGGCTCTTTGTATTTTGTTTTGTTTTGTTTTAAGAGATGGGATTTCATTACGTCAAGTGATCCAAATATCTCGGCCTCCCAAAGTGCTGGGATTACAGGCATGAGCCACCACGAGAGGCCAGATTGATCTTTTTAAACACCACTTGGAAGCACAGAATCTTAGAATTCGGAGGACCCTTAGAGGTCATCTAGTCTAAATCCCTCCCAGTGCAGGACTTCACTCTGTAAATTGTTTTGTTGTTGTTTGGTGTATGTGTGTCTTTTTTTTTTTTTTTTTTTTTTTGAGACAGAGTCTCACTCTGTTGCCCCAGCTGGAGTGCAGTGGTGCAATCTTGGCTCGCTGCAACCTACGCCTCCAAGGTTCAAGTGATCCTCCTGCCTCAGTCTCCTGAGTAGCTGGAACTACAGGCATGTGCCACCAAGCCCGGCTAATTTTTGTATTGTTTGTAGAGACGGGGTTTCGCCATGTCACCCAGGCTGGTCTTGAACTCCTGGACACAAGTGATCTACCTGCTTGGGCTTCCCAAAGTGCTGGGATTACAGGTGTGAGTCACCACCCCTGACCCTACTTTGTGAATTGTTATTCAGCTTTTGGTGGCATTTCCCTAAAGAGATGCCTCCCCCAAGACAGTATATTCTACTGTGATCAACACTGATGAATCCAAAGTTTCTCCTTCTACTGAATTTTCACTCTGTCTCTTATCATCAATCCTGAGGAACCAGTCAGAGGCAGCTAGGATGGGGGAATAAAATCACCAGATGAAAAGAAAACTTGAGAGAAATGATATCCCAGTAGCAATGAGCACACCTAGCACCCAGATCTTGGTTTCTAATACAATTTTCCAATAAAAGGAACCAGGGCTCCCTGGACTACTAGCTGATTCTAGGACAGGGTAGGAAACACACAGGATGAGTCTAGAGCATCTTGAGGTGTCAAAAAGTAAGGAAGTGCTCAAAACAACAACCACACTCACATATTGATGGGGTTAGCTGGGTGCAGTGGCTCATTCCTATAATCCCAGCACTCTGAGAGGCTGGAGTGGGCAGATCACTTGAGCCGTAGGAGTTTGAGACCAGTCTGGACAACAGGGCAAAACCCCGTCTTTACGAAAAATACAAAAATTAGCCAGGCATGGCGGCATGCACCTGTGGTCACAGCTACTGGGAAGGGTCGCTTGAGCCGGGCAGGTTGATGCTGCAGTGACTCATAATTGTGCCACTGTACTCCAGCCTGGGAGACAGAGTAGAGACTCTGTCTCAAACAAACAAAAAACAAACAAAAAGCAGAAAAAAAGAAAAAAAATAAACATATTGATGAGGTTATGTCAAAGGGAAATAAGAGCCAACTGAAAAAGCTCCCAATGGTCAAAGCTGAAACAATTTGAGGAACAAAGTAAGTATTAGATTATAACCCCAAAGTATAAGATAAACATCTGTGAGTCCATAGTGATATAAATAAATGACTGAACTTATTTAAATGGAGGAGAAAAGACAAATCTCTCATGTAGAATTCCAAATAAAATATGTAGACACACCATCCTAAAAGGGAGAAGGGCAGCATAACTCTCCACTTTTTTTCTTTTTTTTTTTTTTGAGACGGAGTCTCGCTCTGTCGCCCAGGCTGGAGTGCAGTGGCCGGATCTCAGCTCACTGCAAGCTCCGCCTCCCGGGTTCTCGCCATTCTCCTGCCTCAGCCTCCCGAGTAGCTGGGACTACAGGCGCCCGCCACCTCGCCCGGCCAGTTTTTTGTATTTTTTAGTAGAGACGGGGTTTCACCGACTTAGCCAGGATGGTTTCGATCTCCTGACCTCGTGATCCGCCCGTCTCGGCCTCCCAAAGTGCTGGGATTACAGGCTTGAGCCACCGCGCCTGGCCCACTTTTTTTCTTTTTTTGAGACGGAGTTTCGCTCTTATTGCCCAGGCTGGAGTACAATGGCGCGATCTCGGCTAACTGCAACCTCCACCTCCCGAGTTCAAGCGATTCTCCTGCCTCAGCCTCCCAAGTAGCTGGGATTACAGGCATGTGCCACTACACCTGGCTAATTTTGTATTTTTGGTAGAGATGGGGTTTCTCCATGTTGGTCAGGCTGGTCTCGAACTCCTGACCTCAGGTGATCCACCCGCCTTGGCCTCCCAAAGTGCTCGGATTAAGGCGTGAGTCACTGCACTGGCTATAACTTCCCACTTCTTACGTGTGGACTGTGTATAGGGAATATATATATATATATATGTTTTTTGTTTTTTGTTTTTGTGACAGAGTCTTGCTCTGTCACCCAGGCTGGAGTGCGGTGGCACAATCTCAGCTCACTGCAACCTCTGCCTCCCGGGTGCAAGTGATTCTCCTGCCTCAGCCTCCTGAGTAGCTGGGATTACAGGCGTATGCCACTATGTCCGGCTAATTTTTGTACTTTTAGTAGAGATGGGGTTTCACCATGTTGGTCAGTCTGGTCTTGAACTCCTGATCTCGTGATCCACCCGCCTCGGCCTCCCAAAGTGCTGGGATTACAGGCATGAGCCACTGCGCCCAGCCCTCATTCAGTATAATTTAGGAAATCAAGAGGAATATCTTTACAGTGGAGAGACCAGAAAAACACTACTTCAACCAGATGACCAAGGTCAGCATCAATACTCATAAATCATGTTTTCGGTATGTGCCCTTAATATTATACAATACAATGGTACTTCACCTCTGTGATCCTCCTCCTAAAAACCCATAACCTCAGGCTAATAAAGAGAAAAACATCAGACAAATTCAAGCAGAAAGGCATCCTACAATATATCCAACTCCTCAAAACTGTCAGTCATCAAAAACAGTAAAGTCTGAGAAACCCGTCACACTTAAGAGGAGTGTAAGGAGATGTGACAACTAAATATAATGTGGAATCCTAAATAGGATCCATGTACAGAAAAAGAGCAATAGCTAAAAACCAAAGAAATGTCAATCAAGTATGAACCTTAGTTAATAATGTATCAGTATTCATTCATCAATTGTAACAAATATACTAATCTACTTTATTTATTTATTTTTTTGGAAATGGAGTTTCACTCTTGTTGCCCAGGCTGGAGTGCAATGGCGCGATCTTGGCTCACTGCAACCTCCGCCTCCCGGGTTCAAGTGATTCTCCTGCCTCAGCCTCCTGAGTAGCTGGGATTACAGGCATGCGCCACCACGCCCGGCTAATTTTATACTTTTTTTAGTAGAGAGGGGGTTTCTCCACGTTGGTCAGGCTGGTCCCCACCTCCTGACCAGGTGATCTGTCCGCCTCGGCCTCCCAAAGAGCTGGATTACAGGCGTGAGCCACTGCGCCCGGCCTTTTTTTTTTTTTTTTTTTTTGAGACAGAGTCTTGCTCTGTCGTGCAGGCTGGAGTGCAGTGGCGCAATCGCGGCTTACTGCAACCTCCGCCTCCCGGGTTCAAGTGATTCTACTGCCTCAGCCTCCCGAGTAGCTGGGATTACACGAGCCCGCCACCGGGCCCAGCTAATTTGTTTTTGTATTTTTAGTAGAGACGGGGTTTCACCGTCTTGGCCAGGTTGGTCTCGAACTCCTGACCTCGTGATCCACCCGCCTCAGCCTCCCAAAGAGCTGGGATTACAGGCGTTAGCCACCACGGTCGGCCAATCTACAATGTTAATAGGGGAAACTGTGCACTGGGACAAATGGGAACTCTTGGCACTATCTGCTAAATTTTTCTGTAAGTCTGAAACTGTTCTAAAATATATAATCTATTAATTAAAACAAAAACAAAAAAAAAAACCTGGAGGCTGGGTGTGGTGGTTCACACCTGTGTGCAATCCCAGCACTCTGGGAGGCTGAGATGGGATGACTACTTAAGTCCAGGAGTTTGAGTCCAACCTGGGCAACACAGTGAGACCCCATCTCTACAAAAAATAAAAAAATAGACTACGAAAAATAGTCTCAGCTACCTGGGAGACTGAGGTAGAAGGATCGCTTCAGCCCAGGAGATAGAGGATTCAGTGAGCCATGATCATGCCACTGCACTCACCCTGGGTGACAGAAAGAGACCCTGTCTCAAAACAAAAAGCTAAAACAAAAATCAAGTAGCACTTCAAAATTCACAAGAGATTAGTTGGTGAAAAAAATATTAAATATATGTAGAAGGTAATCTTCTGTCAGAAATACATACACACATATGAATTAAAAAGCTGTTAAAGAAAGATTATGTACCAAAAATTAACAATGGTTAATTTGAGGGATGAGGTTTTTTGGAAATTTTTTTAGTGCAGAGAGTTGTGTACCTTTTTTTTGGGGGGGGGGGGACAGCGTCTTGCTCTGTCACCCAGCCTGGAGTGTAGTGGTGTGATTTCGGCTCACCACAGCCTCCACCTTACGGGTTCAGGCAATTCTCCTGCCTCAGCCTCCCGAGTAGCTGGGATTACAGGCACCCACCATCACGCTTGGCTAATTTTTGTATTTTTAGTAGAGACGGGTTTTTGCCATGTTGGCCAGGCTGGTCTCAAACTCCTGACCTCGTGATCCACCTGCCTCAGCCTCCCAAAGTGCTGGGATTACAGGTGTAAGCCATCACACCTGGCCTTTTTTTTTTTTTTTTTTTTTTTGAGACAGGTTCTTGTTCTGTCACTTAGGCTGAAGTGCAGTGGCAATCTTGGCTCACTGCAGTGTCGACGTCCCCAGCTGAAGCAACCCCCCACCTCAGCCTCCTGAGCAGCTGGAACTACAGGCCTGAGCCACAATGCTTGGCTATTTTTTTCTTTATTTTTGGTAGTTTTTGTAGAGACAGGGTTTTGTCATGTTGCCTAGGCTGGTCTTGAACTCCTGGGCTAAAGTGAACTGCCCACCTCAGCCTCCCAAAGTGCTGGAATTACAGGCATGAGTCACCACGCCCAGCTAGAAATGGCTTGCTTTTAAGAATGCTACCAATTCCACTGTAAAAGGACAGATTTCCGTCCTTTTTTTTTTTTTTGAAACGGAGTTTTGCTCTTGTTGCCCAGGCTGGAGTGCAATGCTGCGATCTCAGCTCACTGCAACCTCTGCCTCCCGGGTTCAAATGATTCTCCTGCCTCAGCCTCCCCAGTAGCTGTGATTACAGCCATGAACCAACACGCCCAGCTAATTTTTGTATTTTTAGTACAGACGGAGTTTCTCCATGTTGGTCAGGCTGGTCTCCAACTCCCGACCTCAGGTGATCTACCCGCCTCAGCCTCCCAAAGTGCTGGGATTACAGGCGTGAGCCACAGCTCCCAGCCAGATTTCCCCTGTTTACAGTAGAAGTGTGGAATGCATTTCCTTTAGCTATATAGTTCTTATTTAGAATATTTGTTGGATATTGACTAAAGAACAGATATCAAAACATGGAATGACCTACAAGAGAGACAACAGAGTTTCCTTACTAAAGATGTTTACATAGAAGCTGGGCAACAATTTACTAAATAGGGTTTGTAAGAAGGATGCATGGCTCTAGTAGAGGATTCCCTGTGATCAGCATGATTTAGCATTGTGTCTTGCATATAGTAGGTGCTCAATAAATATTTGTTGAATGAATGAATAAATACATTATTTCTATGGGCCTTTCCAAACTTGAGACCTTGTGATCCATAAAGCTTCCCCTCACCATTCCAGTTCTCCTTGCTTTCTTCCTTCTCTAGATTGCAGAAACAATTATGAAACACTAATATTATGAACCACTAATGTAATGGCTCTTAATTACATACTGTATTGTCTTTTATTGTTCCCTAGTTATGTTAGTTTTTATTTTTATTTTTTTTTATGTTAGGAATTTAAATTCTGCCTCCCCAAAAAGAGTGCTAGTTGCCAAAAATCAATTCTATTTAACTAACGTTTATTGGGCACTATATATTAACTACTAGCACCTGTCCTACAAAACCTTCTATTCTAAAAGGCATAGAGTCATTAAAGAGAGAGAGTGCACTAAGTGTCCCAATAAAGGTATACACAAAATGCTATCGTCAGACGGGGGAACAATTCATTTTGCAAGAAAGGCAGCCCAGGAAAACTACAGGTAGCATTTCAGCTAGTCTTCATAGATAACAGGAGTTTGTCAGGCTCTTGGGATAATATTTTTTTTTTTTTTTTTTTGAGACGGAGTCTTGCTCTGTAGCCCGGACTGGAGTGCAGTGGCCGGATCTCAGCTCACTGCAAGCTCCACCACCCGGGTTTACGCCATTCTCCTGCCTCAGCCTCCGGAGTAGCTGGGACTACAGGCGCCCGCCACCTCGCCCGGCTAGTTTTTTGTATTTTTAGTAGAGACGGGGTTTCACCGTGTTAGCCAGGATGGTCTCGATCTCCTGACCTCGTGATCCGCCCGTCTCGGCCTCCCAAAGTGCTGGGATTACAGGCTTGAGCCACCGCGCCCGGCTCTTGGGATAATATTAATAGATTGGGAGGAAGTTGATGCTATAGCAAAGAGAGGTACAAGAGGCTGTCTCGTTTTCTGCTTTAATGTCTCTCCCCGTGCGCGATAGAAAACTACCATTCTCTAGTATACAATCAATACAGAAATGGGAGCCCAGGGGAGAAAGGGTAGGGAGCCAGAAGGGGGCTGATCCAACAACCTGACGGAAAGCGTTATCTATTTCGCAGCCTGGCCGGGATGAACAAGTTCGGCAACTGTGGGACCGAACCAGGTCAGAGCTACCAGGTCGGAGCCTTACCTGCTGCCCCTCCCCCACGCGGAGCCCACGCCGCGGCCAACTTGAAATGTACTGGGCTTCCTCAAGTCGGTGGCGTTCTAGGCCCGCCTCCCGGAGCTCCCTATTGGTGAGTTTTCTCGGCCAATGCAGGAGAAGCTGAGGATGGAAGTCCGCCCTCTTGAAGCCTAGGAAGAGAAGGAGGGAGGGAGCAAGTAAGCCCGGAACCGAAGCTTGCGAAGCGGGTCGCAGAGAGAGATGGGGGTTGCAGAATCATTTAGGGTCACTTATTTCCGGTCTCACTCCAGATGGAAGGAGCCACTGGCCGGCAAGAGTTCACCAAGGGAACGTGACACTCATCGAGGGACCGTGTTGAGGGAGCCCCTACAGAAAGGCCAAAAGAGGAGAGGGCCTACGGAGAAATGAACCCCTGTGAAAGCTGCTCTTTAGGGATCAGTCTCTTTGTGACTCTAGCTTCACAGCTTGGTCTCTCCATTACTCCAGCCTTCCTTTCAATCATACACTGCCTCTCTCCAGCACCACCAATGGATACTTCTTTTCTAAAAATGTTTTTCTGTGGGTTGCTGCCGTGTCTGTGAGAAGGTGGGCAGAAGGTTTGAGAAAGGAAGGATCTGGGATCAGAGTACCAGAGTTGGGGAGACAGGGCAGAAGCCCAGCTTTTTCTGCATTTTCCACTACTTTCCACTTCCTGCGAGCTCCTTGGGAAGGCGAGCAGCGTGGAAGGAGGAGTCCTGTTTTCGCAGAAAACAGAAACAAGGGAGAAAGGGTTCAGAATGGAGATGAAGTCTAGGAGTTAGTCAAGAAGAACATCCCAGATGTAAGAGAAAATGACCTGTAAACTGGGAGGCTATAGGTGTAGCGGCAAGCGCCCAGTCTTTGCCATAGAACAGAAATATAGCTGTGAAACTTTGGAGAATTTACTTAAACTTTTGAAGTCTGTTTCCTCATCTGTAACAAGAAGATGATAGTTCCTATCTTACAGAGTTGTGAGGATTGAAAATAGTGTATGTAAAGCACATGGCACATAGTTGACACGTGTCCAAGAAATAACTAGCAAAAATGGGTAGCTTCCCGCAAATATTTATCTCTCTCCCATACCTGGGAACATTATTTTCAGTATCTTGCATCTGGGGGGCCTCCAGCCTCCGAATTAGCTCAGGACCCTGAGTGAACTTTTTAAATCCTTAGGATTTTTCTTCTTCTCCCACTTTCCTTGGTGCCTTCCAGCTGGACACAAACTCATTCCTAAAATATGTGGATGGAAGCTATGGTAACCATGGAGACAGGGCAGGTGGCAAGGAGAGGCAGAGACAGTGTGAGAGACCAATAGATAGGAAGAGAGAAGACATAAGGAGCATTTCAGACAGAGATCTTCAAGCAAGATGGAAAAAATAAGACAACTAAGCAAGACTGACATTAAAGAGGTGCAGTGTGACAGAGTGTATCACAAGGTTCGCTCTTCTTCCTGCCCCTTTCCTATCTCCCTGCCCACAATAATACGGGGTGGAGGCACCTGGGAATGTCCCTTGCCCCGTCTAAAAGTGCCCCCATATCCACCTTCCTCATATTTATCTAGGTCTATATAAGGGAGCTGAGGTCCAAGTTTCTCTGCGATGGGTGTTCCGTTTTTGAGAGATGGGGCGGGGGTGTATCTGTGTCTGACTCCAGGCTAGACCGTGTCTCCTTCACAATTAAACTACAGGAAGAAAGCCACATCTCTTGCCTCTCTTTGCACAGTATGGACACCGGCTGTGCATCCAAAAAGCCTGTCTACACCTTCCTTGCACAGTGTGCCATGTGCCGTGCGTGGTAGGTCAGGTCTGGCGCACAGGAGCGCATAAACACACCAAGTACAGAGAATGGGGATCTGCTGAAGCTCAGCGAAGAATCTGGATGATGATGGTCCCTGTCTGGATCGCGGAGGAGTTCCCTAAGGAACACTTAGGTTTGTTGGGGCTGAGGGGAGGTCGGCTAAGAAAAGGAAGTCAGGATTGGAGCCTCTAGGTTTTTGAGGGTTTATGTGTGCATGAGTGGGGGAGCAGTTTGGTGCCCGACGCCCCCACCCGCAGAGACTAGGCTATAAATAGCACAGCAGAGCTCCGCCCCCCCCGCCCCCCCCACCAGCTTCTCTCCTCCCGAGCCGGCGCTGTGCCCGGGGCGCTCCGGGAGGAGGGACGACGATCCGGCGCTGGGGCGCAGATACTGACACCAAGGGAATCCGGGTGCCCCCCCTCCACACCATGCGGGCCCCCAGGAACCTGGCTCCGCCACCTCGGCTGCCCCGTGGCCACGGCCCCAATCTTGGCCAGGAGGAGATTCTGCGGACATTCAGGTATCTATCTGGGCGCACAGCCTGGGAGGGGAAAGAGCAAGGAGTGATGGGGAACATCGCAGGGGCAAAAGAACCCCCCAATTCTCCCTCCACCCGTTTTAGGTCTCAAATGCAGGCTCCTTCCCTCCCCCCACTCAATTTTTGGGGTTGTGGCAAGCTAAAAGAGGTTAGGAATGAGAATACATGTGTGACTGTAGGGTGCGTGTATGTGGGTGGGTGGCGTTCAGCATCCTAGAAAGGGGGATCCCAAGTGTGGATAAGAAAAGGGGGATAGAGGAAAGGTCTGATAAGCCATGGGGTGAGGGTGGGGGTGCGGACATTCCTGCGCGTGCACGAACGCATTTGCACGCGCGCTAGTCCTTCAGTGCGGGTGCACCCTTCCCACCTCCTCAGGCATGCGCTGCGGGGGAAGGGCCGGCTCAAAGGCATGAGTTAGAGGAAGGACTGTATGCCGTGAAGATCTCCCCCACCCCACGCTGGGTTCCTGCATCGGTGCCTCAGTTTCCCTGCCGAATCTATCAATAAGATGTCTCTCTTGCAGGGATCGGCTTCGTCACTGAGACCTCAGGCCTCTGCCAGCCACCCCCCACCCCCTACCCCATACCCCTAGCCGTCCTCGGCAGGTCTCAGTCCCGGCTCCATCTGTGCCCTCGCCCCAGCCGCAGCTATGTTGCACACCGAGGGCCACGCTCTTCTTCGGGCGGTGGGTCAGGGTAAGCTACGCTTGGCCCGTTTGCTTCTGGAGGGAGGCGCCTACGTGAATGAGGGTGATGCGCAGGGGGAGACTGCGCTAATGGCAGCCTGTCGGGCTCGCTACGACGACCCCCAGAACAAGGCACGCATGGTACGCTACCTCCTGGAGCAAGGCGCGGACCCCAACATCGCAGACCGCTTAGGGCGCACGGCGCTCATGCACGCTTGCGCCGGGGGTGGGGGCGCCGCGGTGGCCTCGCTGCTCCTTGCCCACGGCGCAGACCCCTCAGTCCGAGATCATGCGGGCGCCTCGGCTCTTGTCCACGCCCTGGACCGCGGGGACCGCGAGACCCTTGCCACACTGCTGGATGCCTGCAAGGCCAAGGGCACGGAGGTCATCATCATCACCACCGATACCTCGCCCTCGGGCACCAAGAAGACCCGGCAGTATCTCAATTCTCCACCATCCCCAGGGGTGGAGGACCCTGCACCCGCTCCTCCTAGCCCGGGGATCTGCACATCGCCTTCGGAAATCCAACTGCAGACCGCAGGAGGAGGAGGGCGTGGGATGTTATCCCCTCGCGCCCAGGAAGAAGAGGAGAAGCGGGACGTATTTGAATTTCCTCTTCCTAAGCCCCCCGATGACCCATCCCCTTCCGAGCCGCTCCCCAAACCACCACGCCACCCCCCTAAACCACTCAAAAGGCTCAACTCCGAGCCCTGGGGCCTAGTGGCCCCTCCTCAACCAGTCCCACCCACCGAAGGAAGACTGGGGATAGAGCGCTTGACTGCCGAATTCAATGGCCTGACCCTGACCGGTCGACCCCGTCTTTCCCGACGTCACAGCACCGAAGGCCCTGAGGACCCGCCCCCATGGGCGGAGAAAGTGACTAGCGGGGGTCCTCTCTCTCGCCGAAACACAGCACCAGAAGCTCAGGAGTCTGGTCCCCCTTCAGGGCTGAGGCAGAAACTGAGCCGCATGGAGCCAGTGGAGCTCGACACCCCCGGACACCTTTGCCCTGACTCGCCTGAGTCCAGCCGCCTGTCCCTGGAGCGCCGCCGATACAGCGCCTCCCCGTTGACCCTCCCTCCAGCCGGCTCCGCTCCCTCTCCGCGCCAGTCCCAGGAGAGTCTGCCAGGGGCAGTATCTCCGCTAAGCGGACGGAGGCGGAGTCCGGGGCTGCTGGAGCGGAGGGGCTCGGGGACGTTGCTCCTGGACCACATCTCGCAAACGCGGCCGGGTTTCCTGCCCCCTCTCAACGTCAGTCCCCACCCTCCCATCCCTGACATTCGCCCTCAACCCGGAGGTCGGGCGCCTTCGTTGCCTGCCCCTCCTTATGCCGGGGCGCCAGGCTCTCCCAGGACCAAGCGCAAATTGGTGAGACGCCACTCCATGCAGACTGAGCAGATCCGCCTGCTAGGGGGCTTCCAGAGTCTAGGTGGGCCTGGGGAGCCAGGGCGCTGAGAGAAGTGAGAGGAGCCAAGGAGGGTGGGGATTAGGACCTTAATGGGATAGGTGGGAGAACCAGCTCACACACACACCACGAACATAGGGATCTCTTGCATGTGCTCATGGGTGCACAGTGCACCCACACATGGTTAAACATGTGTCCATAAGCACAGTACTCTTATTAACAAGAAAGAATAAGTACTCTATTTACTGGGTATTTAGACACATGTATTCATGCCCTGGTCATTTCACGTGCATATGGGATTACTTGTGTACCTGCGGGCACAGCACATCAATAAACAGGGCTAGGGTCCCAAACTCTCTTGCATTTGTTCAGAAGCAGAAGCAGTAGGGAACCCTTACTTATGGGCAGTCTCCCATGTCTTTGCCCTCCTGCAGAAGCAATCCCTTGCTTTCCATGTATGCCCTGCAACACAGCCTATCATGATTTTGCATACTCTACTCTCTCCATGAACATCCCAGCCCATTCTCCAGGTCTTGCTTCTTTCTCCAGGCCTGGCTCCTTATTCACACCCCGCTTCCAACCCCAACCACTTTTCAGGATATCTTTTTCACTCTTCTTGGGGGTTCCTGCAGCAACCCCCAGCCTATGTTCTGCTGCTGTCTTTACTGCTCTCAACTTCACTTCTCAACTTCCTGCTTTTTATTCCCACCCTGTTCCTCCAACAACTACAACAGATTGTCTCATTTTCCCAGGGGGTGGGTCATGGGCTCTAAACTGCTCTTCTGTCTGTCTGAGCTTATGAACACCCCCACGGGTAGAAGTGGGGAGAAACCCTAAATCACTCCTCTCTCCACTTGACATATCAAATAAATGTGTTCAGAAGTCTCTGTTTTGTCACTTCTGCCTGGAGGTGTGGGTATGGGGAATGAGGAATGGGGAGGGAGGGTAATACTAACTTATAGCTATAATTATCCAAGGGATACTTAGCCGTTCCAGCCACCTTCTTTCCAAGAAACCAACTTTTCTATAGAGAAAAGGCAAGTGTCCTGTATCCTAAAGGTTTTAAGGCATTCGACAGGATTTCATTTCCTCCAGTTTCCTCTATGTCCAACCTTGAATAAAGATTCCTACAAAGAGTTCCTCCCTCCATTATCAGCAGATATATCCCAGTAGATTAACTGTCTCTTTTTCAAACTTCCTATTTCTTGACCACTCACAGTTTTTAGTCAGGGTCTAATTTTCATTTCACCAAGTGTGTTTCTTCTATTTTCTTCTACTTTTGGCCTCTATTTCCCTATCTTTGATTTCTGAGCCACTGTAGGAGAGATGGTGGGAAGCAGTTAATATAATCTCACCTAAGTAAAAATGGCCCAGTGACCACATGATAAAGGGTATGTAGAGTGTGTGTGTGTGCATGTGTGTGTGTGTGCAAAGTAATCAGAGGAACCCAGTCTGACATGTTATACCAACAAGGGTAATTTTCTTAATTCCCCCAACTGGACTTCTCAGTTTTCTAATTTTTTGCATGTATCCTAACTCTTTCTCACTCTAATGGAAGGCAAAAAGACTTGCCCATCCCACTCTCTCTTATTCCCTTCCCCTACTTAGAATAAGTGAAATCAGAAATTTACCCAACAATGTGGCATAGTAAAAAGATAAAAAATATTGGGAATCAGAACACCTAGGCTTAAACTCTGAATTCCACTTTGCCATCTCTTAGCTATTTAATTTTGGGCAATTTATCTAGCCTCCCTCAGCATCTGTTTCCTTATCCCTAAAATAATAAAATCTAGTGATTGTGATTGTAAATAAGACATGCATTACAGTACATTGCATAGTTTATGTTCATTAAATGTCAGTATCTTTCTTGCCTTAGCTCCACCACCAATTGCATGTGATGTTGGACAAGTCAAATTACTTCTCTGAGCCACAATTTCCTCACCTACAATCTGTAAAATGAAATGGTAGGACAAAATGATCTCTACTCTGTCTGCAATTCTCCCCAGTCTTGCATCTAGGCCCATTTTTTCCTTCAAGCCCCGCCCCAGGATTCTGGCCCGCTTTCTAGTGCTTGCCACAGGACTCCCAAAGACGCGCCCAAGCTACGCGTCTGCCTTTCAGAGGATGCGCTTTTTCTCTTTGCAATTGGTTCTCAGAATCTCCACCCTCCTCAACAATTTGCCTATGGCGGAGTAGTAGCCCTCTAGCTCCCGCCCCGTCACTGGTGATTGGCATGGGACCTAGCTCGTTCCCGCCCCCACTTGACTGAAGGTTCGGCCCTGGCGCCGCCCTCAGTCCCCAGGCGCTAGCTGACTGGGGTGGTTGGGACCGTTAGCTCGGCAGGCTGGCAGGCTCCGGGGCGCTACTCCATTGGCGGCCGGGATGGAGACGATGCGAGCGCAGCGGCTGCAGCCTGGTGTGGGCACCAGCGGGAGGGGCACTCTCCGAGCACTGCGGCCCGGAGTGACTGGGGCTGCGGCTGCAGCCGCCACACCCCCTGCGGGCCCCCCGCCTGCCCCGCCGCCTCCCGCACCGCCCCCGCCGCCGCTGCTCATGTCTGGGGCCCCAGGACTGCCCCTGCCCCCCGGCGCCGCCGGCAGCCCGGCAGTGCTGCGAGAGGCCGTGGAGGCCGTAGTGAGGAGCTTCGCCAAGCACACGCAGGGCTATGGCCGAGGTGAGTCTGCGGGTCTGGCCTCCTGTGCGACACCCTCTGAAAGGGAGCCTTGCTCCCACAGTCCTCCGGATCGCTTTTCCTGGCGTGGAGCCCTCACTTGCATTTCCTTTTGGGGAGTTTCCTTCTGGGCTACGCACACGCACAGACGCACACACTCATACACACGTTTAAGCCTCCTACCTCTCCTTCCCTTTATTGAGTTATTAATATATTCTCCAGGGACCCTTTTTCAGATACAATCCTCTTTTCTTCCTAAACTTTTCTCCTTTAGAAATGGAATTCCTCCTCCAGCTTAATACCTTAACATCTCTCTGCCTTTGAGAACCAGTCCCCATTGTGTGAGATCCTGTCTTTTATTTCAGATCCAATTTCTCATCCACACCCTCTCAATCTTTCCTCTGTGATCTCTGCAATTCTGGACTCTCCTGTTAATTTGCTCCAGCTCCTTAACCTTGATTTTTAAATTCTTTACTTACCTTCACTCTGAAATTTCAGTGCAACTTCAGATTTACTGGGGAACTAGGTAGTGCCTTCACAAGTCACTTATAGTAATTGTGCATTTAAATCCGGACCTGTACCACTGAGCTCACACCAGCTTCCTGTGGCTTAGCACCTTACTTTGGTATCTTGTTTAGTATGGAGACTCACAGCTCCAGCCTTTCTGTCTGGCTCTGTTTTCCTGGCCCTTGCCCAGAAACTGAGGATAAATCCCAGGCCTTGGCTCTTTCAATGTTAAATTCTGTGGAAATGAGCCAGGTTAGAAACTCTATTTCAGTTAGAAAACTTCGTCTTAAAGATGTCTAATTTCTTTAAAGAGGGATGTGAGGGTTTTCTTTGTTGTTTTTGTTTAACTAGTGTAGTTTCCTATCTGAATTTGAGTTCCAGATTTATAGTGTAAGTAATAAGGAATATATAGTGAAGGGTGTGGAATACAGAATTTAAGCCTGGAATTTACAAGACATCCCTTCTGTCTCCTTGGCCAGGTCCTGCTTGACCTGGAAGTGACTATATTTTTAACTTTCTGGTTTAACAATAATGCAGAGAAAAGTTACAGGGCTTTTCTGTAGATTTTCTTTTTTTAAGAAAGTTTAGTGAAAAGAGCACACACAGGGTTTGGAGATCTTTGTCACTTACCAGCCAGATCTTTGGGAAAGGGACTTAATTTCACTGAGCTTCAGTTTCTTCAAGGATTACAATATGGATTAACTGAGACATTGCAAATGACATGTAACCTAAAAATGATTATTATCTCAAATGTGTTGGTTCATAGTTCCTCAAGTAGAACATGCTTCACTTTTTCCCACTCTTAAATCCTGATAATGTAAACCCAAAAATTCCTATGAAAAGAGATTTTTAGAGCCATTTTGCTATATGTGCCTATGATTCATTTATCTTCAATTTCCCTTTGTTCTTCATACAATTTGAACTCCTGTTATAAGACAGGAACTCTGCTAGGTGCTGGGGATACAAATGGATGAATCCGAAACTCATAAGGACATATTATTTTTCCAGTGTAATCCCAAGATTTAACAAGGCTATGTGATGGAACTGCTGTTAGCTACTATCCTGCTGCTTCAAGTCTCTAAGTCAAGATCAAGGGAAGGTCTTTGCCTCTGGGCACAGGAGTAGCCTAGAGTGGTCACACTAAATCTGAAGCCTTCCTCTTGGAAACATAGGCATTTATTAAAATTGTAGAGGAGTACACCCTTTTTCTTGTCTGTGTTACCTGGAGAGCCTCTGCTTTGGCTTCTAAACTGGGCATCCTGTAAAAACTTTCATTTCCTTAGCAAGGATGAGGGAACAAGGGGATTGTGCTGACAAAGGGCAATTAGTCAGGCTTCAGACTCTGCAGTGATTTTCTTTCCTATCTCCCCACCTCCCATCGCAGTCTTTCTCATTATTCTTGAGTTTCTCATTTCCAGTCTGGGTGTCCAGCCAGTACTTTAGGAGAATCTGGCAGATAGTTCAGCTTCAGGCAAGCAGAATCTCTGCCCATTTGGCTCAGAAGTCCTTTACCACATGGAATCACTTATTCTGCTTCAATTCTTAGACAAAGCTGCCACTGGCATGTACTCACATACCCTTGTGACTGATGGCATGGTATTTGGGGGAATGGATGTATTCCCCTGAATACAATTTACTTTAGCCTCTGCCTAGACAATTAATTCCCTCATCCAGCAATGCTTTACCGCATCATCTTCAATTAACATCCTTCATCTTCTTCCTGAATGCTCCAAATTCACCTTTTCCAGCCAGTCTTTAGATCTACCTTCACTCATGTGGAATATCAGTATGTATGTATGTATGTATTTTTAAAAACTTTCTTGTCCTTTATCTGCCTCCCTCACCCACTTACCCAGGATACACACATAGCTCAGTATTCTGTAGGATCTTGATAAGTTTGTAGTGCATGGGATTTGTAATCAGAGGACCTAGCCCTGTTAAAAAGTTGGCTGTATGATCTTGGAGAAGTTGCTTAATCTCTCTATGCCTCATCTGTTCTCTTCATTCATTTAACAAATATTTATTGATCACCAGATGCAGTGGTGGGCAAGGCAGATATTTAGTCCCTATCTTGATGGAACTCACAGTTCACATTACAGAGCATGTATAAAGATTAATGGTGTAATAAAGCAGGCCAGCCCAATACAAAGAGGGTTGACTTTGGAGCCAAACAAACATTGTTTCTAAATCCTGGTTCTGCCACTTCTGGCCTGTTCCTTAACTTGCTTACTTTTTGTAAAATGGGTATTATAATACTTATCCTGATAGTTTTGTGTGGATTAAATCAGACAACGAATATAAAGCATGCAGCACATAGTACTTAGTGTGGTTGCTAATATTGTGCATTTGGAAATGCTTTGGAAACTGCAAATGATACGTATTGTTCTGCATTGCCATATCCTTTGCCCCCTTTTTTCTGTGGCATATAGTCTCTTTCTCATGTTTGACATCTGGCAATCTCTAAACTGGCAGGATCGAGTAACTCACTTGCCTTGCTCTGTAACTGCTACATTTCCCTATTCAAACCTGTTGTTTTGGAAGTATTGCTATCCTTTTATGTTACAATATGGCTGCATGATTGGAGATTTTGCCCTGCTATTTCACCAAGTTGAACAAATGAATCTTGTGTAGTGTTTTCTATTTAGTTGTTCCTTTTCCTCAGAATCACAGACAGCTTCTTTTCTGTAAGACTGGAGTTAAATGGGTT